CTATCGAGTCTCACGACAGCCTGCGGATTGATTTCGTACCGGACCCAGACAACCACTTAAGGCATGACCAAAACCGTACCGCGTAACTCCCCCGTCATTAGAAATCGGTTTTGAGTTACATACCGGACGATTTTTTTTTCACCGAAAGGTCGATACGGCAGGTTCTTAATATCATATTGCAAATAATACACTCCGCACGAATTGATAAGTCTCGAAATTGCAGAATTTACAACGAGACAATATACGCGCGCGGTTACTCGTGAACACAACACACAATAATTTCGGAACGTTACACAAATAGACGTTAAAAGAAAGGTAAAAACAATTTACGTCATAGAATATATAATATTTAACGCACTTACACACGAGTTCAGCATAAAATTTCCGATTTTTCTTATCCCCGAAGTCCGTGTTTACATTTAATTTAATGGCGAAAACTGAGTTCATATTATTGTACAGATTCAATCCTGTCTTTGAAGTGCCGTGAAATAGTAAACCAATCAAATTCTACAATAGAACGCGAAATCGACAATATGCTTAAAAAAATCGTTACTAAACGTTTCTTACAGCAGTATTGATCGATTTTTTCATGATTAAAATTAAAAATAAACCATATTAAAAACTATGGATTTTAGTTTCCAATCACTTTCAATGCGTAGACGATTATAAACATTTACTGTTCAAATTTGAACCCAACTGAATTTTTTAATCACGCTTGTTGTTATTAAGCGAAATGTAAACGCGGACCATTTTAATAAAAAGAAATCGACCATTCCGTGGACGTCAATAGTACCGCCATGTCGGCGGCTATCTAGGTGTTTATATGTCTGCTGTTTCGCCGCAAAACTGGCGGACAAACGAAACAACGATAATTAATCACGCGGACCGAGCACACCGCGAACGCACTTCTAAACGGAGGTAAACAGGATCTTTTATTTATTTTACGGCTAGCAAACCTACTTGCGTATGCTTGTGTACGTGTTTGGCTGTTCGAGTCGTGATAAAAAAGATAAACACAGATTTCGCGTTAAGGTAATCATAATATATGAAACGATATAATAATACAGAAACGTGAAAATGTATTGTTTTTCCCCCAATTAATATGTAACCGATATTCTATATACACACCATATAATTTTTTAACACATTTTTATTATTATATTTTTTTTTTTTTGTTCAAAGAAGGTATCGTTTTATGAAATATAACAACTTTCCAAATAATAACGAAAAAGAAATTATTTAACTATTTAAGCACGTATGCACTTACAAATCCTACAATATGCACTAAGAATAAGTTCTACACATTTTTTTCTAACGATTCAATTGAAACACAATTTAATATTTAATTAAATTATGACTAGCGAAACTATGATTAAATTGACAAAACACATGTTTGCGTAATTTTTTTTATAAAACTTTTACGTTTAATTGTTTTAATTATGTAGACATTACATTATATTGATTGTACGATGAATTTGTGTGGTTTTTAAGTATATTTAATTTGATATTATTTCTTCTGATACAAAGAAATACAGCTTTTAATATATTATTAATTTATAATTTTACTAATGATTATTATCGTTTTGATAAATGTTAGTTTTTAAGAAATTGTGTAAACAGCCTGAAAAATCCCCGAAAAAGCATATAAAAAACCTGCATGTATCTCGAAAATTCTAAATATCTAAATATGTACAAACACGCAGTATAAAATTATAGATTTGACTTCGTGTGATAATATCAAAAAAATTTCTTTTTTACTTTTCTTACGGCTGGGCAAAATATAAATTCAAATGCTAGTAGTCATCTGCTCTGTTTGTGAAAAATTTGTTAAATTTTCTAACCTTTTTTTTTAGTATAAACATTTTATCCACAAAGTACCTACCGAATAAAACTAACGTAAAAAACTTCCAAAATTAAAATGCTAATAAATAGCTCAAAAATAGCAAAATATGTTGAACATTTGTTCACGTCTAAAAAAGGCCAATATAATTGTTCTGTTCAGTTTTCAAATCTATATGAACATTTGTCTAATTGAACAACAAAAAAAAAAAAAAAATTTAAAACAATATTTTTCGTAAATTTTCGCGCTGTGTATTCCAATTTGTATGAATGCTACTTAGGAAATCAAAAATAAAAACAGTTGTTTAACGAAAAGAAAATAAACATTATTGTTAAACTAACACATTTATCGTTCCGCTCAGAATCTAAAAGTTTTACCGAAATCGGTAAAGTATCTCTCGATATTTTTGTTAACAAACAGACGGTGACGGTAGTTGACAATTTAAACTTTCAAAAGCGTATCCCCGACAATAATGTTAATTATATACACAAATTAGAACCCCGTCATTTATTTTGATAAGCCTGTAAGAGTATTTATTATTCGGCATTTACTGTAAAAACAAGAAATTTGAATATATACAACTGCCGGGTAGTGTGTTGAAAGTTCAAACCCCTAAAACGTACATATTCTCGATACTTAAACTACGGGTATTCAAAATTTCATCTCCCTGGATTAATTTGAGAGGAGGATCTTTATGAGTGCGCACAGCTAAAATCACTATTTTCTGCGACAATAAAACGCAATTTAATTTTAAATTCAACCTATAATTTACTGCTTCAATTCGCTTGTATATATATAAAAAAAAAAAAAAAAAACACATATTCCCAAGTTCGATCTTATTTCATCCAAATGGAGGCGATAAAAGCGTTTTCAAGTGTCAGGGAACAAAATGTATGTATATTACAGACTCAGTACAATGGAATACCTATAGTCACTATTTTCGGGAAAACTTCGACAAAAACCTAGAAATAAATTACAGCGATAACTTATAATTATTTTAAATCTCAAAAATATATTAGCTAGGCGTAATCTCTTTTAAGTTCGACAAGCAGAAAGAGTGTATAACTTTAAAGACCATAAGGTGGTGGAGGATGTGGAGAGTAAATTGAAAAAAATGACATCCATCACGATCGCAACTCTAAAAATTCGAAATTAATCAACTTTTGTCAAATTATTAGACCGTGAATAATTTTCCTGAAAAACTATTTGTGATATTATATATATTATAGGATGTGATTGAATAAACGAAAAGTTATGACGACAACGACGAGAAGAGGTGAAAACGGCAAGAAAAAAGTAATGTAGATGAGTGTTTTGATAAAAATTGAAAAAATAAATAATGGTCACTTTTTAATCGCCAACCAGATGGTCGAGATCATGAAAAATAATTGCCGTTTCGTAAAACAGACAAAAATCTTGTATTAATATTATTGTTATAATTTTTTTTGAATATTTAATGGCCGACGCTAAACAGTTTTGGAAAGAGGCGAAGGGTTAAAAGAAGATTATTTAAATTTCTCGAATGTATTAAAAAAAAAATAATAATAATTAAATTATTGCAACAGTTACGTATACATTGTTTTTTATCCGATGCGTATAACACTCAAACGGGGGGAGGGAGCGTTTTTCTGCCGGATACTTATATATGTATATAAATATTATTTTTATTTTAAACAATCGATTTCGCGTTCAAACAATTAGTAAACAAGACGAATTTCGTTGGTATAATACGGAAACTGTGGTTCAGTGTAATGATGTAGTTTTTGTGGTTTCGCTAAGATTTTAATTTGTTTTCATTTTAAATTACTCATCCTGGAAATCCAAATTTAATTTTTCTCCCCCTCGCTGTTATTTTTTTTTGCATATTTCGCCGGTTATTTTCCGGTCCGTGTTTAGCAAAACGAAAAATAACCCAACCGTTTTTTTTTTCTTTTTGTTTTTTCGTCTCTCCGTCTAGTATTCGCGGAATAGACAAAGAAATTAAAATATTACACTGATGTTATCCTCTTACGAATAGATTATAATACGTATATACGCCATATACTATGTATATGCATAAAAAAAAAAAGAAAAAAAAAGAAAAAAAAAGAACTACAACTGAAATTAAAAAGTATGGCGATTATACCACAATAAGTTTCTCGAGATAAATATAATATTTTTTTTTCGCGACTGACCTAGTTGTACTTCCAGTAAGTTCCCGTCATAAAGAAGTTTTTTTTTAATACGTATAAAACTTTGGTAATTTTTCAAAGATTTTAAAATATACCTAATAGTTAATACCCGCACTCGGAGAGAATTCCATTAAAACGGAATATAACGTACACATTGGCATGTAACAGACAAAAGTAGGTTAGTTGGTATTGTGAGTACCTGCATTAACCATAATTTTATGTATTTCGCGAGAATGAATTTGTGTCGTTCCGAGCACATCTGAACGTGTACAGAAACGTGTGTGCGCTGAAACAATAATTCCGTGTCTGAATTAAACTTCAAACGTCCGTTGAATTTGCATTTAGATTTTTTATAGTTCAACCGACGGCCGCGGTGATCCATCAGTTCTCCGATAAAACTTAAATATTTATATCCGTACGTGAAACCGTATTGAATTCATTTCTATAATCGAATTCGGCGCGCACCCAAAACAAACCGACACAAAGTTTAAGCGGATAATATAAACAAACTGATAAATAGGAAAAACTTTAAAACAGCAACAAAAAAAAAAAAAAAATTTATTTTCAAACCCGAGAACATAAGAATTTTTCGTGGTAATTTCCTTGGTCCGTCACACATTCATAATTTACCGACGGGGTTTAAATGCGGTGAATAATTTGCGGTTTTTGTAATATTATTACAGGAAACGAGGCACGGCGCAGTAGCTCATTCAGTACATTTTATTAAGGTTGTTTTTTATATTTTCAAACAATATACATCTCCCTCTTATATCTATATTTGAGTATTAAAAAAAAAAATTTCAATTATGATCTAACATTTTTTTTTGTTTTTTACTCTCGTCAGTGCATTTTTTTTTTTAAAACTGCCATTCAGCATTTTTATTTAAACAAGTAGTCTTTATAAATACAATAAAATAAGTGTAATTTAATAAATTATACATAATTTATGATCAACGAATACAATATGCATTGTATGCCTAAACGAATTTGGGGTTGTTTCTCCAATGAGATCGAATCGCCATTTCCCTTAGCTTAAATTACTAAAACTTAGTCGTAGGGTTTCAAGGTTTGAGACGTCCGATGTCTTGTGAGTTATCAAGCAGTTGTTTATCAGCTGCGTTGGTGTGCAACTCTACTCTATTCACATGTTTGTTAGCAAATTTCTTGATTTCGACCCGGATGGATGAATAACTTGAGATCACGATGGATCACGTCATTCTTGTCGAACCGGTATGCTGCGACAATTGTCCGAATGGCAATATGTCGGCAACGTTGAATGATTTGGAGGTTAGATTTTGATAATAAAATCGCACAATTTTATTCTGTAAGTCCAAATCTGTGTACATAGCTATGTATATAAGAGGTGTTTATTTGTCAGGATTAGCGTAGAATATCTTCCGACTAGCCAGTATAATTTACGCATTCTTCTGTAATTTTTAATTTTTTCTGGCGGTCCTGGTGTTTCCAATTCAACCGGTAGTCGAAACAATAGTATTAGCAACATTTTGTCGGTGGCCGCGTTTGGTTTCGATATTGTCCATTCGGTTTTTGAACTTATTCATAACACAAAATACTATACTTATTGAAAATGGAAATACTCTGTTTGGATACCAACACGTGAGTTGTTATCAACTTATTAAGTGTGGAGCAGTTTGGTTATATTTCTAGACAATTGGCTCAATTGAGAAATGTAAAGTGGTGGACTTCAAAATGTGGACGCTGCACAAAAATGTTTAAAATCCCATAGATTGATAAACAATTTGCAAACGATGTGGTTTTAAACGGCAACTATAAATATAAATTCAATCCAGAATAGATAAAATGATAAGACATACACATTTAATTATATATGATATGCGAGTATACTATAAAAAATAATTGGAGTAAATCTGAAACGATATCAACGTGATAAATGGAGAATAAGAGTAGAATATTTGACCCGAATCACGAAGGACAAGAATTGAAGATAATGCGAGGATTTAAAGACTAAATAAACTAAGCTACAACTACAGGGAAGTATAATGTGCTACAATAAACTAATCTTAGGATTAATAACGATAAAAGAAGAGATTCGTTAGGTTAGTTTATTATATTTTCATGTCATAAAACATATAATAATAAAAATACCCACAAACAACAAAGTATTGCCAAAGCCGAATTTTCGTCTGTCTACTTTATATAATAGATGTATTCTTTGTAATACAATAAATAACCGAAAACTATCATAATACAATACTACAATGTACCGCAAAAGTATACCACTTCCAAAAGAAAGAGAAAACCTCATAATACCTACCGACGAAACTCTTGAAAAATATTCAAGCATATCTGTTTGGTTTTATCCATACCACACGTACCAATTAAAAAAAAAAAAATACATCTCATTAATCTAAAATGCCCATCAATACCTTAAAAATCAGCAGAATGTATTGAAAATAAAACCATGTGTAAACAACGCTAATATTGCCTATATAGGTGTACTTCTTCCAGTTCCCTACATACATTTTTAACCAACTAACAACTACAAAACAAAACTGAAATGACTGGTTTGAACATTGTACAACGATTTACTCGTTCGAAAACTATATTCGAAATTAAATAAATAAAGTATTCGGTCATTATGTGATTGAGGCAATATCCCTAGTAGAAAACATAAAACATTTCGACTAATGATAATGCTAACATCACAGTAAGCACCGCACTATAATATACGTTTTCCATGTTATTTTTCCAGGGTTTTCCCAATTGTTATGAAAACCCCTTGAAAGATTAAAAAATGACCCATGCCCCATGCTATCGCACAAATTATACTCCACTACTTTCCCCCTACTTAAATTTAAAAGTAGAATATCTCGTCAACGGGTTAGAATTCTAAACCAAAATTTTTTTTTTTAAACATCGTGTCATAGAACAATTAGAATTATCTATTAAAAATATAAGGTAAACATTATAATAATAATAAGAAAATTAAAATAACTAAAAAGTAAATATAATAAGAGTGACTTAGTAAAGATAACTAATAAATTAATTTTAATAAATTAATTTAAGTGATAAAACATTTAGGGATTCGATGTTTTTAAAAACAATTTTTTGTACTATTATTATTCATAGTTTATTTTAAATTAAACAGTTAAATGTATATTTAAAATCTGAATGATTTCTTTTGTAATCAAATTTAAATACCTTAGTCTAGCTTTTAGGTCAATTACAATGTTTAACCATCAAGTCTAAGACATTTCCAAGACTTTTTTGTTTGCCGAGAAATGGTATTTCAAAATTATTTTTTCTTAAGCTATAAGTCTGACACGAATGAATCTATAAAAATAAAACATTTAGCTTGTCTTTTGTACAATTTGGTTTATTTTAAACTTTGATAAGGTTTATTGATAAACTAAGCTAATACTTTATCTATTTGCGAAATTTTAAATATAATTGGCTATTTTGAAATTTTAATTAGGTTGTCATTTCATACCCGACAATAAGGACGACGGAAAATTTAATACATTGTGAAATAATGAATGTTTTACGTTAAATGAATAACCCTCTATAATATAATTTATAATATATAACGGACACAGTAGGCTGCCCTAGTATCAATTTTCGGGGAAAATTCGTCTAATAATACTGAATTATGTTATATTTTCGATCGTGTTTTTACAAGGTTAATAACACTATATCTATTATAGAAGAAAAAAAATAATAATATAATTATAACGACCACCTCCCGATGAAAACGATTTAGCCGACCACTTGTGGACGGGTCATGGAAGGGGGATGAAGATTCCTGATGCGAATTTCGCCATATGATAATTATAAAAACCAGTGGTTCTAAATGTTTGAAATTACTGTCGCTTAAATGTACGAAAAACCATATGTATTCTGTTGCCCGACAATTATGTATTATTGTCCTGCCCATGTCATTATTCAAAAAAAAATTATGAAAAGTCGGTAGTGCACTTTTGGCAAGCCAAAAGTGTTCTGCTTAGTTAAAAATAACTTTTTATCAACAAAATAATGGATTCAAGTTATAACTGAATTAAATCATAATTGCGTGTCAAACAAATATTTGTTTATTTTTATTATTTATTTTTTTTTTTTTGGTATGACATAATTATTTCGTTCTTTGAAATGCTTTATGATACACTACGGTTTGTTTTGTTGTCTGACTGCGCGCACATGTGGATTGCACTACAATAATAAATAACAGCTTTTTAGTTTATCCGCGTTACCAAGGAAACTCATAAATCAACAAAAATAATTAGATATTCGTACCGAAAATACCTAAAAAAAACCTAATTTTGCAATTGTGGTAGGAATCTATAACTCTTTTTTAAATAAAATTCAGCCCATGTTACACGCTGATTATGTAGTTTTTTTTATAAGTGAAATAAGTTTTAAAATTGGTATAAACATACAAACACAAATCTTTCGTATTTATAATATTAAGAAGACGTATAGGTGACTTATTAGGCGCGTAGGTATCCATAATCCATATGTACAAATCGTGCACGTTTAGTAGCGTGTGATTTCTTTTAGGCATAATATCATTTGAACGGTTTTAAGAAGTCCCGATTATCGTTTTACGATTTTTGATGCGCTTTCTTACGGTTCTATAATATCGCGGATTGAAATTTTTCAATTTTAGCTTGTATAACGTCGGTATGCTTTTACGGTAAAATGGTGTGTTGTCATTTTTCGCATAATATGTAATTTAATATCGTGTCACCGAATACGAAAATTAATCGATATTAGTGTGCATGGACCGTTCGTCGCGTGTGCTTAAACCTGAACAAGTAAAAACCATAACGTTACGGCGTGTCACTTTTCGGCGTAGCGGCAATCCCCAGAACATCGCCAAAACCAAGCGAAAACCACGCAATCGTATTGCCCGTGAGCTTCTTAAAATACACTACATTCGTTAGTCGTTTTTGTTTTTTTCGCCGTCTCGCGTTTTCCTTAAAATCGCCTTTTGTATTTAATTATAGGTTTATGGGTGGCGCATGCACGACAGTTATTCCGCAGCACGTTTCAATAAACGGACCACCGTCGCCGCCATCGCCTTGTTAAACAGCAGGTCTTTTATTGCGAATCGTTATCAACGCTTTTTCAGTCTTAGCCGTGTAATAAGTACACGGGCCGTTCAGAGAAATAAAAAAAAAATGAAAAAATAAAACACAGGAACTCGCTTTGGAACACTGCACAGAGTGTACATATATATATATATATATTACATAGAATAGTTCGTTTAAGTGTTATCTTATCTAAAACAATGTTTACCGAAACTATAAGCATAATAATATATGTGTGTGCGGAATCGTGTTTAATGTACGTTTTGTTCGTTTAAAATCGTAGTTTATAAAAAAAAAAAAAAAAAACTTTACAGTTAGACTGATCGTGATAAACAAAGCGCCAGTCAGAGTGAGTGCGTAGTCCTATGAGAAATTCGAATAAACAGATTCCCTCGGCGGTGGCTCGATTTATACGCTCTTTTTTTTTTTTTTTCCAAAATTGAAAACTGCTGTGTGAACACACAATTTGACGAACGAAATATTTTTGAAAATATTCTATAATAGCATAATTAGTATTCAACGATAAGTGCATACCAATCTTTATGATTATGATATGTTCTTACACTGAATTACCCAACTATTCACGTTTGTGTAGGATTATAGAAAAAAAAAAAAAAAAATTCTATAACGCGCCAACCAGATCAAAAATTCTACAACAAATCTATCATATGAAGCAATTTTCGATCGAAGTAAGTGTTTTGACGCGAAAACATGTCAATAGACGGATAAAAAAATTATTTTTAAATTTTTTAAATTTTTACACGGCACCTATGCCTTTTTCAATACCATTTCTGTTCTGCTGCAAAATAATATCGCTCGGTATTCCAAAAACACGCCTTATTTTCATACGACACGGTAGTGTTTTCCATTAGAGTTTTATGCTGAATGGACTCTTAAAGCTTTACAACGGCGGCGGATAATTACCATAAACTAGATGCATTACACTTGCATCCGACTGCTAAAAGTTTATTATCAATAAATTAAAGCTACCGTTTTTTTTTTTTTTATTTAAGGCTTATTTATAAACATGTGACACAAAGGACAGATAAGAGACAAAGAGGCTCTACTCGGTTACCTAAAGGTAGATACCTTAAAGCGGATATTAAATCTATAATGAAAGGATGCTTGGTGATTATGTACGGAACAAACTGTTAAATAATATATTTCACCTACACCGCTTCATATTATATACACATATGTATACATACGAGTAGATACGAAATAACAAAAATTTACGTGGAGAAAACCGTGAGTAGTTTTCATCACTGGTTTTACAGAGGTATAAACACGTACGAGTTTATTCAATTTCGGAAATTCGAATTTGCCTTTTATCAATAGTTCGTCGTATATGTATAGACAGATTTTACCACGTACTCAATAAGTATCATACGATTCTGTGTATAACGAGGATCTATAGGTTTTTCGTTTTTGAAAAACTGAAATTTTTTTTATTTTTTCCTGTCTGTAAATAACTCGTAGAAAACTTGGTCCAATCAAAACTTGACAAGGTATCTTTTTTGTTTCATTTTGGTTTTAGTTTGTACTTTAAACAGATCATTTTTTTGATATTCTAATTAATATTTTAGATAATGTGGAAAACATCGGTTTTTAGGTTAAAAAAGATTTCAACATTAAAAATTAGGTTGCAATGAGCAACCGTTTTGATATATATTTTGTTATTATTAAGTTTTTTTATTTTAATATTTTTTAAGCAATCATTGTTGTCATCGAAACGCACATTGTTTTAATAATTTTTGACAATAATTGTTGACAAAGCAACATTGTTAACTGAACTCAGATCAGAATCGTGTTTTCGTTAGCAATGATTAATCGTTGTTACAGATATAAATTGAATTCCCTTCTGTATCCTACCTTCCCAACTTCTTACCTACAATAGCGGCCGCACCCTTCCCCGGTATCAGCTCTTATAACACTTATAAACAGGCGTCGGTTTGGTTGGCGTAAATATTACATAATATCCTCAAAAAGTTATCTAAAATAAATAGCTAAATTTACCTTTTGAACTCTGAATGGAATACGACCGCAGTTAACAAAAAACAAATCCTAACGCGACCTACACACATCCCTCGTTACGCCCCGAATCTCAAAATCGTCATTGTTTTAAAACTATTCATTTTATTTACCAACACGACGATGGCGTTAACCTCGAGTACTCGCAGAACGGCAACTTATACTGTCGTCCGAGTTAATTCGCATAATTCGCAAACTTATAATATAATAGCCGTGTGATGGTATCCGGTAAGGAAAACGTACGCGGTGTGTCGGGTTGTTTTTTTTTTTTTTTTAAGTTCGGCCGGTCCGAAAACCTCGAACGAGCACGAGATTAATGACGGCAACGCGCGAACTTTGAAGAACGCTGCCGCAGGAAAAAAATAAAAGGAATTAAATCTATATGTATATATATAAAATAGCTACTCGATTACACGGTAAGTACCAAAAGTTTTCGCGATTCGGCCGTGAAATAATATTATTACGTGTACGCTGTATTACTTTGTTCGTCAACGCCGCCGAAGATTTCGTCCGTTTTCCGGTATTTGCGGCCATCAAAGATTACAAGTCTACCTATAATACAAAATAATGCGGTGAACATTTTATGCGCAACACGTGCGACGTTCCTCGGTATGTGAAATGTTTGACGTTTCCGAAAAAAAAATTGTAAAAAAAAAAAAAAAGGGTCTGACAATTTAATACCGATCGCGTAGTACGTGCAAATATGTTTAGAATACATAAAAAAAAAAAGAAAAAACCATACTTTCGTAGTATTAAACCGTTTCGTTCGCTTGCGTTTATTAATTTTTGTAAAAAAAAAAATAAATACATTCGTTTTTCTTATAATATTACGGGATGTCAAAACTCTGAATTCCAAAATTATCGATTACTACACCCATATCTTCCCTGTAGTGTTACTTATGCAATATTAACGCAATTCATTAGATTAAGATTTGTCCCAACTAATATAGAATTTCAAAAAAAAAAGCTATCCTCTGATAATGGTGGTGGTGTTGCAGACACTGTTGTAGGTGGGAAGTTCGAAAGGCAAGATACAAAAGGGAATTTAATGTAAATTTGTAAGCAACGATAAACTATTGCTAACGAAAAAATGATTCTAGGAGGAGTTCAATAATATATACATTTTTTAAAATACCTCCACAAAATAATTTCCTTTCAGAAAAGGGTCTACATTTTATACATCGGAGTGAGCTTCGTGGTAGAAAAAGTTTTCATAAAAAAAAAAATAATTAAATAAACATCTGTGTAAAACCAATAAATTCTTCGTTACACTGAGAATTAAAAAAATAAAATTGAATTTCGCAATCAAAATTAATAAAAAAAAAAAAAGTTAATTTGACGCGTCTTCCTTTTTATTTTACCAACGTGCAACCCAGAAATCAAAAAACAAAAAAATATCCATCCGTCATATCACTGTAACACCGATGGTCCATATTCGTTTGTCTAAAGCCAGTAAGTTTTTGTGACGGTCGTATTGTTGATCACTACTCGGCCTGCATATTTTGCAGAGTGGACAAAATAACGAAAAGGTGCAAAATACAATATTTATCGTAGGTAAAGATTATCATAAAATGTCACATACACAAAAAAAAAAAAAAAAAAGAATCCGAAAATATTTCGTGCAATCGTTGTGAATGAATTGGTAAAAAAATAAAATAAAAATAGGACTGTTCGTGCGTGGTATTGTGGTGTTAAACAAAAAAATAGTCGTTTCCGTTTAAGAAAATTTAAGATGCATTGCGCGGCGGCCAAAAACCGCAACGGTTTAATTTTTTAAAAACGGGCTCAAATGTGCATTTCAGAATCACACGATCTCGCGCTTAGAACAAAATAAAACCATATTTCAATCCGGGGGTTCATTCGGGTGAAAAATTTCGTATTCGTACCATTCGGGTGTGACGCAAGCGGCAACGCCGTAACGGAATTACGCTCGCGACACAATTTGATTGGCGAAAATGAATTTCGTTAGTTTTATTTCGGTGTGATAACGCGCAAAGGTAAAATAATAACGAGGATGCAATTTCAAATGTCGCCGTTTCTGGAATTTTAATACCCGAATAAGTTTACAAAAAAAAAAAAAAACTAATACAAGAGGAATAAGGTAAGCAGCGTAAATTGCCCGTGGTACCACATGGCTCGCAATCTTATTCGCCATGTTCCGAACGCCCGGGAGTCCCGGTATTTGTACGCACGACGCGTATCTATCCGACGCGCGACGGCGCTGGTCTACGCGGCGAGCGTATCCGGGGCGGCGACGTCGAAGGAAGCGTGCGTTGGCCGACTGTAGTTATGCACACTGCCGCAATAGTTGAGAGGAAGAGACCGATGACAAACTCGATGGTCGCTGCAGTACTCGTTGGAACCGGCTGCGGATCTCGGTGTCATCGCGGGTCGAACGGTTACCACTCAACACTTGCAGCAGCGACGAAACCGTGCCCGTTCACCTCTACTTGTATGTAATGTGGGGAAGCCGACTGTGGTTGTCTGCCGTTTCTGTTGATCCGTTGCGGCCGGTAATGCTTACTAGTTTCACTGCTCGGGCATTCGGTATGATTGTCCGGAACGCGTCTTAATGGCACGCGTTCACAGGAGAATAAAATGTCGCCGAAACAGCGCGGATATAAGTCGTACGAGTTAGCCGCGATAGGTATCTCCAAAGGCGTTGCGCAACAAACGCTACCTGTTGGTAACGCCCGGATGTTGTATACTCGCTCGGCGGCCGGTGTAATGTAACGAGACCACAGCTCTGTGTATAGTGCGTATCATGCGCACCTGGTGGACTCGTTACACAGTCGAGACCGTCCGCGGACGTACTGTTAGCGCTACGAGCAATCAATGCACGCACTAATGTTATGAATTTTTTACGCACAAATACCGGGACTCAACACTCTCAGGTATTCGGCACACAGGCGAATCTGAGGTCATATACAATGGACAGAGCTACAGCCTAAAGATTACATATAATGTCGACGGTGTACAAGTTAGCGACGATTCGTCATGTAAGTAGATTTTAGTGAGCATGCACGACCGGGTGACTGGTTTATCTCTAACTATCAATATGTATATATTGTTTATTTCAAATTTCAGTTTATTACCAATTCAATAAGTTCAAGTTTTAATCCATTACAATAAATATTATTACTATCACTTATGTTATCGGTTGTTTAATATTTATCACATCGTATCAAGGCATTGGGATAAATATGCGACTGGTCGCTGGCACGCATGTGCACTATAGAAGCCACTCACCTAGCGACCCGTCGCTAACATGCACATGGAAATATTGATCTGTCTCTCCCCATACGTTGTATATGATCTAAGAAGCAATTAGGGTAGTTTGATGTCACATAAAATATATATCGCCTCCTTTATTCCTTTATTCTCTTTTATTCGTTTTTATTTGCAAACTCATCCGAGTATCGAAACGCCTGAAACGGCGACATTTGAAATTGCATCCTAATTATTATTTTATCCTTGTGCGTTATTATATCGAAACGAAACTAACGAAATTCACTTTCGCCAATTAAATTATGTTGGAAAGTCAATTCCGTCACAATGTATATTCAAATTCAAAATAATATCTGATTTACATTGAATGGAAATTTCACCTTTCCGGCGCATCGACGAACTACGATCAGTTTCGTTCTGTTCGTCCTGCGGTATAATGTTTTCTTCCCTCGCAACAGCACTACAACTTACAACTCGCAGAACCTTCCGCGTTGTGATTTTTCATCATTAATTTTTTCCCCTCCGATGGCTGTAACTATAATAATAATAATTTGTTGTTTTTGTTTTTATTTATATTTATCGATATTCTCTACTGACAATAATAAAACAATAGTTTATTGTTGTCCAGTAAATCTTATATAACAAAACGGTAATTTTACACCCTTTATTCAATTAATCAGTACTTTTACATTTATACGGAACGCCGGTTTTCGAATCCGAGTTCATACAATTTTTGTGCTAACTGTTGAATTCATTATATATATATATTACGAATACATTTATATTATAATACACAGTTTGGTATCCGCTTAAAAGCTGTAATTACAATGATAATATTCGGTCATTTTTCTATTTGATGATTTGTCAGTGTATATTTAAAAAATAAAAAAAAAAAAAAAATATATAACTATTATTCTAATTGGCAAAATGTAAACGGGACACACCCAGCTATATTCGTCCCCGTCAGGCATTCAGGTTTCAATGATACAATCGGTCGTGGGT